GTGGGAGTCAAGGTTAACCGGGTGTCGGCCCTCGGTGAGTTGCTTGTCCCGCCGAGTGGCCAGTGTTGGGCTCGGGGGGTCCCTCCCATCGAGTTGCGGCTGTGCTGTTAGGCTAAGCTGTTCGTTGAGCCAGGTCACGCACACGTGTCCCTGGGCTACGAGGTCGGGCCAAATCACCCTCCATCAGTACATATGACAATTTTGGTTAAAAATACTTGTTTTCTCAACATACATATAAACGACTGACTATTTACTATCATTTTTATTGAGGTTAAATTATCAAAAATGAATTTTCAAGTTATTATCATGGGTTTTTAACCAAAATTGTCTCTAACTCCCACAATCATGGGTTTACTATTAGCTAATATCCGAATTTGATCCGTTAAGTTAATGGATTGGATTTTCCGATCCGATCTGATTTGTTAGGGTCAAGAGGGATATCCGAATCTGCCTCTTAACGGATCAGTATCAGAATCGGATCAGATCTAATCCAACTTATTTGTAGGCTTACCTCTACCTCTCAAGCTTCCCCCCTTCTCTCTAACTCCCACAATCATGTCTTAATCCTGTCCCCTTTGTCTTTCCCACTCTCTTAGCTTTGATCTGTAGGCAAATCAAAATTTGTGTTTCTTCCCCCCTCCCCCCCCCCCTCTCTCTCGTTCTTTTTTGGCTTTTCTTACAAACTTATATAATATTAATCAGATTGTATAAAGAAACTTAAGGGACCAACCACTTGTACAATCAAGTTGGTGTAATAATAGCCAAGAGTTTCTTGTGAACTTTTATCAAATTGGTGTAATGATTTTTTACCCATACCAAGTTGGTCTCATGTTCTTTTATACGGTTTGATTAATACTAAGTGTGTAATAAAATAAAAAAAAATAACAAGAGAGGGAGTAGGAGAAAAAACTGAGGGAGAACGATATAGAAATTAAGGGAGAATGAGAGATCAACCGAGAAAGAAAATGAGAGAGATTGAGGGAGATAGGTAAACATATAGAATATGAGAAATTGATAGAGATAATGTAAATATAGAAACCAAAAACCATTTTTATTTATTTTCAAATCACACAGTCGTTGAGCAGAGAGAGAGAGATGACTGTAAAAGTGAGAGTGGGAGGGAGATTGAGAGAGAAGGAGGGAGGGAGGGAGAGGGAGAGAAACTAAAAACTCTTTTTTTTTTTTCAATTACCCAACATTAAAGGGCAATTTCAATATAAGCCTTTTGTTGTGTCCAACATGGATTAAGAGTCCCATGTTAGCAACAACCACACAAACCTCCGATGACATGGCAAGGGTTTTTATAATTTGAAACCTCCGATGACATAGCCGGCTCTGGCTATAATTTTCCCTAATTTAAAACTATTCCAAAAGCAAAGCTATTTTTTATCTAGATGGTGGGTCAATGATCCAACTTTTCAAAGAAACCTATGATGTCATAATTGAATAATAAATATTAAAAAAAAGATAGAATACCACAAATGAAAATGTACAAAATTTTATTAAAAATATTTGAGAACATTTCTAATGTTATAGATTCATCATATTAAATAAAAAATAATTTTTAAAATAAAAGCTATTTTTATTTATGATAGAAATGGAATACAAAATTTAATAATAATAATAATAACAATAATAATAATAATTGTTATTTGCTACAAGCATATACACTAGTGTGTGTGTGATATATAACATAGATTATAAATAATAAAGTTGGTTAATTCCATTTTTCAGTTGACGAAATTTCCTAACCTGAAAATCGATATTGAAATTTTGTAAAACTGAACTAACCAAAACCAAATTTTTTTTGTTCAATTTTTTCGATTTTAGTTTTAACTGAATAATACTCACGCCTATTCTCACAATTGAAATTAGATATGTTGTCACTCTCCTTTGTCTTCATCTCTCTCTCTCTCCCTTGTTTTTTTCCAACCACATGACCAATTACTACACTCCATCTCTCCTGATTTGTTTCCAGTTCTAAACTCTCTCTGTTTTCTCTCTTCCATTCCAAAATAGTATTTAGGCAAAGCCCTTACACAATAGGGTTTCTTTAAGCATGTTACTAGCGAGGGAAGGTTGATAAATTTTAATTTAAAATAAAAGTTTATGTAAATGCCATATATAGGTCCCATTCTTGCCCTCAAATGGTGTTGTTTCTTGATTCAAGTAAGAAAGTTGGGTCATATTCTTTAATGATGGGACTGGCCTCAACAGTATGTCATCGAGAAACTCTCAACATTTTAACAATGCCCAGGATTCTAACTGCAGGCAAATATCTTTCTTCGGGTTTGAACTTTGAAGAGCCGTAGTGGCAGCTACTCAATTAGAATTTTTGTCGATTGATGAAGGTAGGTGTCAGTGTTAGTAGGGCTGTCAATGGACCGGATATTGGTCCAACCCAACCCAGTTATTACAGATGGATCAGGTCTAATTTAATCCCATAAATCCTTTGAACCATTATGTCTGGACTGGTTCAATTCAATGTCTTTTTGGACCATTCAACCTATTCAAATTAGTTTTAATTCAGAATGAATATAACCCCAACCCAGTCCATTGGCACCCTTACTCTTATCTTTTATCAGGGGATCAGATATTAGTTCAACCCAACCCAATCCGATATAAATCCATTAGAGATGGATCAGGTCCAATGCAAGTTTGATTGATCCAATTCAATGTCTTATTGGACCATCCAACCTGTTTAAATTAATTTTAATTCAGATGAATCCTACCTAAACCTAATACATTGGCACCCCTAGATTTCAGGAAGGTGAGAAGTATGAAATTTATGAGCCAAAAGAGATAAAATGCGGAATACAGAGATAAAAAATCAGGATCCAACAGGAAATGGCGGGTCAGGTCCATTTGGGCACATGGTACTTTCTAAATGGAATGTCTTGGAATTGAGGGACTAGTAGAATGGGAGAGAAGCAAATTCATCTTGACCAACTTAACAGTGTTCTTTTTTTAAACTCTGAGTCCCTGCTGGGTAATTGATACTCATCTCCCAGGTGAGTAAATAACTTTCCTACCTGGAAGAAAAATTTACAAAATATAATAGAACTAGTTTGTCTATTCTAACATTAACTTTTTATAGGTAAAAAAGTCGTTGAACTTACCTGTGAATCAAAAGAACATGGATAAATGAATTTACCCATATAAGTATTCCTTAAAAAACATTTACCCGTGTAAATGCACTACCCGGATAAGTGACATTTCGAAAAATGAAAATGACCTAAAGGAATCTTAAAAATGACATTTTTTATGACAACCCATGGCATCCATTTGGCAAGTTTCAAACTAGCTAATCCCGCCACATGGTAAAAGAGGATGCTAATAAGAGGCAGGATAACCAGGACATTAAATCAGTGTGACAAAGTAGGGGACTGTCCACGTTGATTGTCGCCCCCTCCAAGATCCACATGGGTGGTCCTGTGGGAAAATAGAACCTGATGGAGCATGTCCCAAACATGGGCAATTGGTCACAGTCGAGGAAACGCATCAAACAGAGACAAAGACAATAAGGATTTCTATTTCTATTTGGTTAGATTTCCAAACCTTTTCACTTTGATATCCTTCATTGTTAAATATACTTCATAGTCATTATCATTCTTTTCTCTGCTCCCTGTTTTCTATGCACATAACGTCCTGTCCCCTGCTCTCTCCAGGGTTTGATTTGAAATGGACCATAACATTTGCCTTAACTTATAGGGATAATCTACACTGCATTTCACTTCAGAATTCTAAACTCCACTGCACCTCCACCTATAACATTAATACCCACATGCATGAGCATCAATTCCGAACTGGCACCTACTCTTTAAGTTATAATTCACCTTTTATATTCCATGTTCCAACATCCAACCCGAAACCCCCCGTGGTCTGTCCTCTTGCAAAGCTAAGCTGTTTTGCAAAGCTATCACAGAAAATTAATTCATTCCCATGATCCCATCCACCGGCGTCCAAGTTCCGACGTTGTGTGTACGTACGTTGAATTTAGAGAATAGAGAGGGACAGTGAGGGAGGGGCCGAGGGAGCAAATAGCCTTAAGCGGGTCCTAGACTCGTAAGACCATGATCATGTAATTTTCCCAGGCAAATCTCCAATTCCTCATTGATTGCCATTGCCCTCTTGCGGCCCTTCACCCAGACGAGACAAAACATTCTGCTTTATATAAGCCAACGAAGACCAGTCAAGTAGGCATCCCTACCAAAGAAAATATTAAGGTCCATTCGGTTTACAGCAAGGTTCAAATTATCAATATGTCGGTAGGGGCATATTGGGCGAATCGATACTGTTCTTTTTTTATTTTTTTTTTTATTTTTTTTTCTAAAACCGATTTAAAGGAACCAACTCCTTGAACCGGTCAAACCCCGATACACCCACCATAAAAACATATCGGAGGGGTCCCGGAACGATACATATCGGCCGATACAGACCAATACATATCAATACTTTAAACCTTGATTTACAATTTAAATTATAGTAATATATTCCCATAATCTGTTTGATTCAAATAAGAATCAGAACTAAAACTGGAATCAACTGGATTGGAACTTCATTATTAAGGAGAGAATGACCATTCCCTCCCATCGGAGAATGCCACCAGGAATGAGAATGAAATTTTAATTCTGTCCGATCAAACAGTTAGGAATCAGAATGGTCCATTCCAATTCCAAATCTAAAATTTGAGTCTGGCTTGTTGGCTAGTATGTAGCACAAAGCTTTTCTTTTCTTTTTTCCTACCATCAAAATTACTTTCTTTGGACCACCTTTGTTACGCATTCTCTCAAGTCTATTAGCTGGCCTGGATCCATCATGTGTGCTTTTAAGTTTTAACCAAAAGCATTATTTTTTTTTTTGTCACATCCCCGAGAAAAAAGTTGTTCCACCACCACCTTTAGTTGTATGCATTCTTCTTTAGTCTAGACTCTTTGATGGCATGTTTGACCTGTATCCTTCCTTCTAGGCTATGCAATCGATGCATTTGCAAATCCAACTAAAGAAAAGAAAACCACTTGATGAGTTTAAAAAACACCAACAGGCAAAATGTCCCTCAACATTCCAAACAACAGCTATTTTCTTCGATGCTTACAAGACGTCAAGACCAATCACTTCAAAGGATGAGCAGCCCATCCCTTTGGGGGCAGATCTGAATCACTGTGAAAATCTGAACCAGAGGAAAAGACAAATTGAGGCAGAAGGAAATAAATAAGCTCCTCTGAAGTTGTTTCGGATGGTCTTAAGCCTGAATAGCCCGCTCACCAATTTCAGTATACACAACAGGAAATGGGAAAGAAAGGAATTTTCCGGCTCAAGTTCGAGCCCCAAGTGTTTTGATTGTTATCTTCAATAAAGCTCCCTTTTCAGGGTTGTATTTTTTTTCTTGAACTGGATGATCTTCTTCATGAACTGGGTTTGAATTCAGAGTAATGTACTATGTGCTTCTCTCTATTCAACTCAAGTTTGAAACTGAGTTCATCATGCCTTGGGCAGCTGTAGGGCTGTTGAATGAGACATGTTGGTGGAGAGGCCGTGACATGCGCTCGGGGGGACATGGCGCGGGAGCTGGGTGAGCAATGAAGGTGGGGATTTCTTCTCCGGGCATCAAAACTGACACACCACTAGCATATATTGACATCTGCAAATCCCAATCAAGAAAACAAATGCCATCAACAAAAGAAAAACCAGTATCACTGGAAGTAAGTAATCTCTTTAGACAAATTAAGGGAAGGTTTACATAAGGTGGTTACTGGTTAGTACAAGACCAGTGATACCAATATCAACCCAACCTGCTAAGATTATAACAATAGAAGAACAACTATAAAATGTATGGGAGCAGCAATGAATCAGACATGTTATTACCATTGTTACTATACTACAAAAAGGTAAATTAAAAATCAGTGATGCAAGTACCACAGAAGTTGGTGATGGATGCATATGCTGACAACCATAATACATGTTTTGACTTGGGCTGTTCCTAAAACCATTTGCACAGTAAAAGTGAAAACCCAATAACGACTGAAAATCTCTTTCTTTTGGTTGTCCTGGTCGATCCTTCCACCATGAATGGCAATAGTAATCTCAGGTTACAAAACAATCCATGTTCTTCTAATGATTACAAATAGACTAAAGTAAAAAAGATAGCACTGTTTTTTTTTGGTCAAAGAGAAATTTTTCACAATAACACCAACAACCAGACCATCCACCATATCAGCACTACCGCTATGACATAGAAAGCATTAATATCTACCACTGTTAACAGCAAACACTACTACTCCTGATTGGCAGGAAGCAAACAACAAAATAGATAAAGTTTGATTGAACAAAATAACAGTCTTTCCTTTTCTGCAATATCAACCAACCAGGAAAGAACATGGTTCTCAAAAAGCAGATTTTCTCCAATGTCTTTTGAAGCACAGATTTGGGCTGCTTGATATAGTCAAAGGAGTTGCAGGTTAAGTTTGTTTATACCATTGTATGTTGCACCTTAGAATTATCCTTTCCTTAAAGTAGGGGGATTCACAAATGTATGCAACTCTTTTGATTATATCAACAGGAAAAAAACCAAAAGAAAGAAAAATGTATTGCATAAATTCCCCTTGTTACGTGTCATTGGCCCATTACACCCATTTTGTTATCCAAGGCATGCACCAAATAAACAAATAAATCGGTTTATTCCACTAACCTTCTACAGATCCCAAACCAAGGGTTAGGATGAACCCCCCACCGACCAACAAAATTACAAAAGTCGGGGCAGATAGACAAGTGGGCCATGCCAAATGTACTACCAGTATCACGTGAGCATAATAATGCATATATGAAAAAAAAAAAAAAAAGAAAAAAATCTGACACATTTGTTAATATATATACACAACAGAAAACCTGCATCTTAATCCTAATAATATACTCTTTGTTAAGAATTTTCTTTTCTTTGATTCTTGGTTGTCTTAGTTATGAGATATTGGAGGGGCTAAAGTGGGTGGTGGTCTAGCAGGACCCCAACCACAAGAGGCAGAAGTACGGGACAATAATAACCATTAATTATATAGTTTCTTAGTGTCCACGTAAAAGTGTATTTCATAATGCAGATACCTGTGGGTGTGGAACCTCCATGCTTCTCATCTCCATCGTCTAAACAGAACAATAACCAAACAATCAGGACCATCAAATAAACCACCAAGGTACCCATCTGTGAACAATAACCAAATACCGTTCCCTCTGTCCCTCATGGGAATTTTTTTAGCTCATCTGGTTAGCCAAAGTTTTAAGGGTTTAGTAGTAAACGAAGGTCCAAGGGTAGCCCATCAATCGGACGATCAAGGACTGGTTTAGATTAGATAAGCCCATCATGGATAAGATGATCCTAAGGTAATCTCTTCGGTTGATGCGTATTTGTCATTTTATAGAGCCACTGGACCTTATCTTTATTCTTTAAGATAACAAAACGACTGAAGAAAAGAAGAGACTACTGTTAATGTCAACACAAACAATAGGGAGAAACAGATAATGTTAACACACGCAAAGAAAATCCCTGAAACTTATTCGCAACCTCATTTCTGTAATAATTAATTGCACCAATGATCAAGTAATTCGTAAAAAGAAAATAAAATTGAAGGAACAGAAGGCCTCATCTTATATTTTTACGCTACCAATTGATACATGGAGTGTGATTTGGGTAAATCCCTTTTTTTTGGTGTTTAACAAAATGGGATTTGCCCAAAAGTTTCCCTCTGATAATTAGTACGCAAGGGTGTCCTTCGTCTTTTCCCGGGAGATGTGCCCAAATCACTCACTATGTATGATTATCGAAGAAGGAAATAAAAAGTGAGAAAGTAACCCAGTGGAGGACATTTCTATCGTTATAATGAAGATGGTGTCTCCACTCAAGTGCAATTGCAGACTTGCAGGTAAGACCGTAAGAGGAAAAGTACTTTAAAAAAAAAAAGAACAGAAAACGAGTGGACGCGCAGGAGTATTTATGTGGGAACAATGATATTCTATGTTCAAGTTATAATGAAATAATCAGAGAACCAAAGTCTTTTACCATTGGCAGGCAATCCACTAAATCACCCACTAAAAAAGACTTTTAACTAGAACTTAAGCAGAGAGAGAGAGAGAGATTACTTTGGGTGATGGGTGACCAAGCTTTCCGTTGAAGGTCATCTGTGCCTCGAGATCACTGTGATTTCGTGCGCCGGAAGGCGTTAGTGCCGTTGATCTGGGCCTAAGAAATCTTTCGAAAATGGCCATAGCTAAGAACATAGAAATAAGAATCGCAGTAGCAACAAACCCAAAAGAAACCGCATTCACAGAGTTATCAAAATGTCTCCAGTGCTCCTCTCTCTGCACGTTTAGTGGAGCTCCAGAAGGTTGCATACCCCAGTTATCTTCGCCCATTCTCCCTTGAATTTAAAGCAACTTCTCTCTCATCACGAATCAAAGGAAACCCAGAGAAGCCAAAGGTGCAAAGCAGAATCAGAGGAAGAAACAGGCAGAAGCTGGGCTCTCTTTCTCTTCATGATATCGCAGTTCTAGTTCGGTCGACTGAAGTTCATGGCTGTTGCGACAGAAGAAGGACCAAACCTAAAGAAAGAAAGAATTGATGGGTTTTTTACACTTACTTTTAAGAGAAGAAACAGCTTCCTTGTTTCAGGGCCTTTTCTTTCCCTTGTTAAGCTTGCTCGTACTAACAACACAGAAAGCCCTGTTCAGTGTTCAGACTTCAGACTTCCAGAGTAAAGGAGAGAGAGAGAGAGAGAGCACATGGCCTCCTCTAGATGTGACCCGATGTTGAAACAGGGGCTTTTGCGTCTGAACACCGGGGGTAGCCAAGCCCCCAAGACCTCTAATATTTATATACAAGTGCAAATTTTCGCTTTTCTTTAACAAGTCCGTACACTAGTTTATTATAATAAACGATAAAGCCTAAGCTCTAAAATTAAAGGGGAATTTGGGCTGGGCTTTAGGGTTGGGGTGATGGTGACTCGAGATGCAAGTGGCCTGTGATTTGCCCTGACTGAAAGTATTGGTAACGCTGACAACCTCTTATATACCCTACTCCACAACCTTCGACGTATATGTAATCTAACAATATCAATCTAGACCTGTTTGTTCATGGGTCGGGTAGGCCGACGGCCAAGTTCAGCCCGGCCCATTTTAAGTCAGGTTTGGACATGACTTTAAACCTATGAGTTCGAATTTCGACTGACTTTTTTTGGGCTAGGTTCAAATATTTTCATAAAATTTCGACTTGAGAACAATTTACCCGGCCCGGCCAAACCGCATACCCATATGCACACTCTGCCTTGCTGTACGATTGCCTTGTATCTTTGAATTAGAATTAGGGGTGGGAGAGCAAATGGGTAAATTATATTGGAATCAATTTCCAATCCTCAGGATATTTTTCTGTTTATCTCTTTTCAGTTTTGTTTTTTCCTTTTGTCTGTTTTCGTAGGCAATGTTTGGTTTGAAGGAAAAGGTGGGGAAAGGAAGGGAAATGCAGGGAGATCTCCTTTCTTGTCCTTTTCTTACTTTTTTCTTCAAAACAGTCTTAGTTTCACTTCCTCTCTTGTTCTGTTGTTTCTTTGGATGTTTGCTAATGAATTAATCTTTTTATCAAAAAAAATCCAATTGGCTTTGAACTAATTATATCCAATCTATTATAAAAAAACGATCTAATTCCAAATTTTTTCCTTGCCCAAATTGATTTTAGGGTTTAGAGATTTATCCTATCCGATTTAGAGAATCCAAGTATTCGTATTACAAAAATCATGGTCTCACATGACCATTAAGTCAATTAAGCGATTTGATCATTTTTCTTTAATTCAGTATTTATGTGTACTAAGTAATATAAAAATTAATATTTTTTGAACTAATATGATAATCTATAGGTTAATTTATTCATATTAATCAATAAAAATAATAAAAAATTCAAATATATTATTATTAATATTAATAAAAATCAAATATTTAGAAAAAAAATCATTTTTTAGAATAGAGAAAGTATAGGTTCCGCAAATAAACTCTAGAACTGAACTAACACTAAAACCACCAAAATTCGAACCGATATCAGTGGTTGCTCTTTGCTATTTGATTTGATAGACTGTGTGACCGGTGATACTGTCCACTGGACCACTGATTCACTGAACACGACGTCCACACATAACAACTGAGGGTACTTTTGCAATTCCTTGAAAAATGATGGGCGTTAGTTTTCCTTTTCCGCAAACGCCCCGACCCCAGTTTTGATTGAATATTGACCGAACGAAAGTCTGAAACAGAGAACCTAGTGGCTATATCCAACAACTAATTCAAGGTGGGGCCATGACGATACATGCAGCAGCTACGGAGGGTGCTGTCGTAGCAAATGTGGTTTGGTAGATTACTCGTTGTCGTTGCTACTGTCTACAAGGAAAAAGATAAAAGGTGAGAAAGAGAAAGCCATGTAGACAGTAGACGACGTGACTGTTATCTCGAAAAGGGAGAACAACACGGGCCTTGTCGCATACGTTTTCCGACGTGTCATCCAACAGTGCGACCCTATAAGCGACGTGGCTTACACATCATCAAGTCCCCATTCGTCCCTCACGTGTTCCTTGTCTCCAGCTCCATTGTAACTACGTGGGCATCAACACCTCCCATGAGCTGGATCGGTCGCCGGTCGGGAATGAAAATAGGTAGCATTAAAGAAATGTATTCTCCAATCCAACCTCGACGTCCACGACCGTTGATCGACCCCGTTGAACTAGAACCCACCGACATAATCACCTTTTCATGTCCAACTTTACAGGGATTCATCCCCGCAGAATAGACATCCAATTTCAAGATTGTCCCCATCCGATGGCAAGAATTTCTCTCTAAAATGCTTTCAGATAATCGCCGTCGGATCTAACCACATTTATGACCTGATTATCCATATAGTTGGGTCAATGCCGACAGAATTTGTTATCGGTTGTCAGGTTGCGGGACGCCACGTGTCACATCAGTCACGTGGGTGCAAGGTTACTCGTGTAACGGTGTATGGAGCAACCTCAACACGAGTCACGTACGGGTTTAGATTAGGATGGTAATACTGGAAAATTTTAATAATTTTAAGTGGGAAACTCTACAAACTTAAAGCTGAAGGCTTCTCACTTTCTCAGTGAAGGTGGCCACCAACTGGGTCAGTTATGACTTATGAGCGGGACTGGAAACTGGTTGTAGTGAAAGGCTTCAATGGAGCAAGAAGTAATAAGCGTACAAGACAACCTCGGGTCAAGCGTTGAGACTTGAGATAACCAGACAAGCGGGTCCTTTTCGCTTTCGGATCCATGGTTAAGTACAGCCTTGGGTTTGGACTTCGGAGGCGAATTCAGGTCCGATGTGGGAGCCGGAGAGGCTATTTGGATGGGACTCATCCAAATATGATGACGAGGATGATTGATGGCCCCTCACACGGTTGACGGTTTTAGGCAATAACATAAGCGCTCCTAACTTGGCATCTACGGCAACGATCTAGCTAGCAGGGAGGCATCTCTATAGCTCTAGCTGCTACATTTTCGATCCCCATAAGTTGTCACTTGCTGTGGCGTGTGTATGATGTGTCAAATACCTCTCCTGGCATGTATGATGTGTCAAGCCACGTATATCACTCCCACGCACTTCAAAACTGACCCCAAAACTATTTTTTGGCAAAAAAAAACATTAATTTAATTAATAAATCATTAATTTGGACGGTCGAACCATTGATCCGAATACTTTTTTTCTTTTTGAATTTTTAATTTTTTGTATCAAACTGTTCAATCTGAGAATCGGACCAAGAACGATTCCCTGCCTGATCCGATTTTCCGATTTTAAAAACCTTGCATACATGCAAGAATAAGAAACAAATGAGGATTTGTGGAGCATGCGGGAAGCCATGACTCCCCAGGGGAAGGGGACAATAGTCAATAGGGGGGGGGGCATTAGTTCAGCACAGTGCCATTGTACCAAACAACTAGATAGATGAGAGATATTGTTGTCTAGTGTAGTGAACTAATTAACAGAAGCAAAATCAAACCGAGACCGAGAGAAGCCAGCAAGTGGGTAGCGCACGCTTGGACCAAACGCCAGTAATAGTATCAACTTCAACGATTAATGTCATCCAAGCTCTGGCCTAACCCTCCCATGGTTATCAACAATTTGTGTAATTGGCCCTACACGATGCCCACTGTTGCTCGAGCCTTGATGGCCATGGGTTGGGTTTTAAGTTGTAACCAACTCTCTCTCGGAATCAGAATCCCAATCTCATTCATGGTGGAATGGTATTCCCCATGGCCATTTCCTCTCCTCTTGGGAATGAAATCCCATTCCAAATTATTCCCGTTCTCATTTTGATTTCTGTCTGAACCATTAACAATAACAGAGTACGCGATAGACCATTTCGATTCCAATTCCGATAATAAATCAAATGGACCCTTAGTGTTATTCTTTTCTTTTTTGGGAGGGGGGATGAAATTAATCTAAGGTACAGTTGCATTAAATCAAATAAAATACCACATAAAACATGGCATTCAGGGATAACCAATCTACCTATGGTTTTGTACTTTGTGTGGTCAGTAATTCATAGCTTGTTTGGATGTCACATAAAATGAAATAATTCCTTTTCTTGTTTCTCCTAGAGCTGAAATTCACATCCTAAATGGTTCCCCATTCCCAATTGCTGTAATGAGGTCATTTCAGGTGCTTTTTGAAAGTGAGCTCATTTATAATGTTCGATAAAAACCTCGAACAGAGCTGATGAAGGCGAATTTGGCCCTTCATTTATAATTTTCCATAAAAACCTGGAACAAAGCTGATGAGGGCAAATTCGGCCCATCAATGACATTGTGACGCGTGGCTCCACAAAACTTTCAAATGACAACTCAATATCACGTAAGCAAACTTCGGAAGCACAACAAACACCTCACCCATGTCACGGCCTCCTCGGTAGAACAACCTGCAATTAGATCGAACTGTGTCAGGTCAACATAAGAGGCGACCTGCCTCCACCGACCTGGTAGTCATTCACATAGCGGCCTACGTGATGCAACAAGCAAGCTCCTCCTCGAGTGAACTGTCACCACCAACTTCCCTGGGATCATGACGCCACATTGAAGGAGCTGATTATCGCCCCACCCGCTTCGGGCGCGACTGGATAGACACTACCCGCTTATACGAGGTCCACTTCTAGACGTGAAACCACCTCCGAACCAAAAGGACCAGAGATTTCAGACGCACTTCGTGGAGCTCACGAATGATGGCCTATATAAAAGCATCCCCTTTCACGAAAAAAGGTATGTGTGATTTAGCTCTCTAGCTCTCATATAATCAAATACCAGTTTGTTGACTTAAGCATCGGAGTGCCCACACCAGGTTAAGCAACCTAGACACTTTGATTTGTTCTTCTTGTAGCTCAACCAAGCGATCTCACCAGCTCGGCATTCAAGTTGCTTGGCCAGCAGGGAGCACCAGATCACGCACAATCAATTGGCACCGCCTATCCTCAAGTAACAATGCCAACAATGATACACGTGTTGACGGTGCAATCACAAGGGGGCAGGACCAGCCCGCAATGCACATTAAGGTCCCCTCTATTACTATTGGGCAGTTCGTCGTGCCCCTGACCTTACCTAGCATCCCGGCCACCCAAGGCCTAAACCTCCCTCTACCCGCTGTGGATGCTCCTCTCCCAATGGTTGAACCCTCCACGATTCCTGTCGGGATTAACGATCAACGGTTTTATGAACTGGTGCAATTCGTCTGCGAGATAGACTTGTAGATGCAAATATGGGAGGGTTGTTTTGCAGCAATGTCTAGGATGCAACAACAACAACATC